GTGTAAAATAAACATGCTTATACTTTAAATGACAAAGTATTTTTCACAAATAAACAAATATTTAAAAAAATATATAATTAAAAAGGAAGTAAACACTGCAACCAACAGGGCACTCAGTATTCTGGGAAGTTTGTGTGCATTGGGAATCAAATTTTTTTCAAATAAAGCCACGGTAACACTCATTTAACGTACAGCACACAGTGAAAATTACATGAATATGACATTGGGCAAAAGCATGAAGCGCAGCATAATTTGAAATCTAGAGTTTAAAGTTTGTAGTGATCGTGCAGGATACAAATGTACACTTCATAAGATCTCACAGCTGGATTCGTGTGCAAGGTTTTTGAAATTAGATGTTCATTAGTCATTCAAAGATTTGTTTAAATTATATAAATGCATATTTGCTGAATGCTGACGGCAAACGAGAAAGTATTATAATGTTTGCCTTTCTATTACTAACAATATATAAGCAACCGTTATAATACTTTTTTGTATACATTTTAATTCCTTTGATTAAAGGGGTGGTTGATTGCGATTTCACTTTTTAACGTTAGTGTGTAATGTTGCTGTTTGAGCATAAACAATATCTGCAAAGTTACGAAGCTGAAAGTTCAATGCAAACGGAGATATCGTCTTTTAAAATTCTGGCAGTTTAATGCCTACAAAAACGGCTCGTAGGGACTACAATGAGTTACTTCCTCGGGAAAAGGCAACAAAGGGGGTGAGGCCATGCTGCGCTGCTTTAGAGAAGAGGAAGAGAAAACTAGACTGCAAGTAAAAATCTATTCATATATGAATAACGATTCTGTCTTCTAACAATTCAAATGGATTCACAAGTTTCAAAATCAATGTTCTAAAGCAGCGGTTCTTAATACTGTTCCTCGCGTCCCCTGCTCTGCACACCCTCTGCATCTCTCTCTCTCTCTCTCATTCAGATCATCAGCTCAGCTCTGTTCCATTTATACACTTATTTTCACATAGCTATGAGAAGCGTTATACATGGACGCGTGTGCAGTTGCCGTACTGTATTAATGCTTTAATCAGGATAAAAACGTATATTAAAAGATAACAGAAGCAGTAGCATTCACAAATAACAGTTAAAAGTATGAGACAACAACAAACAAACATACCATTAAGAGCCGTGCTTGCACAGGTTCTGCGCGATCCTCTTCACTAATATCCTCTGAGTCTCAATCGGGCTCAAATTGATAAGCAATATAGATGATGCCATTGTTTACAATACAACCGGAGGGCACAGCGGCATGAGGGGAACATCAGTAAATGTTCAGCGCGTTACTCAGAGAAGGGACAGAGCGGTGAAGAATAAAGGTAAATTATGTGAAAAATAATGCGTTTTTTTAAAAAAGCGAAACATGAACACATGTTAGACTGCACCCCATAAACACAATCAAGCCTAGAACAAAACCAGTCAACCACCGCTTTAACAGTTCTATCTGATTATTAGACAGACTTCTGTCTGTGGACAGAACTGTTAACGACGACGGCGAAAAAGAGGGAGAATGTGAGCACTGTGTGTTCAGGCGCTGCCACGTCGCTGCCACAACCACATCGGCCAAACAGAAAAACTTATCGGCCGATGCCGATATTTAAAAAAATGCCAGATATCGGCCGATATATCGGCCTTGGCGATTTCACAAGAGCTATAGAGAGCAGAGCAGACGGATCCTTATGCTTTCAAATCGCTCTCGCGGTACTTTGGTGTCATACAACGATCGGTGTGCAGCTTCAAGTCAAACAAACAAACACGTGCGCGTATTTGTATCGCTTTGATAATTCTCACCTTCTCATGCGCACCGCACCACGATTGGTCGATTATGTACAATACCTGCATGTTATTGGTCAAACTACTTTGGATGTTTTAGGCAATATAAAAATCCTGGCCAGGACGAGTCCCGTATAAATGGCACATTTGGCCACCCTAATTATTTATTTATATTATATATTTATTTGATTACAAATACATTAAAAACAGTAATATTGTTTAAAAAACATAATATTGTGAAAAAAATATTGTGTGTGTAAAATGATTACAATGTTAGATAACTGTTTCCTACTTTAATATACTTTAAAATATAATTTATTATCGTGATGGTGTAACGCTCGGGGAACAGGTGAAGACCAAGGCGAGAAGGAGGGCTCAATGATGTTGTCTTGGAGCATCTGATCAACTTGTTCCTCGATTATCTGTTTTTTGAGGGGAGAAACTCTGTAGGCACGGGATTTAAAATTAACATACCATCCAATGGTGTTAATTTGGTCTTCAAAATTGAATTCTTATTATGTTGAAAACATTTGTTGTGCTTAATATTTTTTTTAGAATCCATGATTCTTTGACAAATAAAAAGTAAAAAAAAACAGCATTTATATGAAACAGATTTTTTTAATACAATGTAAATGTCTTACTGTAACTTTAGATCAAATTGATCTTTGCTGAATAAAAGTAACTGCATAAAAAAAACGTCCTGATCCCAGACTTTTGGTTTAAATATATAATAATAAATATTAAATAATAAACATAAAAGTTATTTTAAAGAAAAACAATAAAACATACCACATAAAAAAATAAAATGTTAAATTCATTAACCAGTTGAAAACATTAACAGGACAAGAAGAAATCTGCACTGAATCCTTACTGTTGAGCCTTTGTGGATTATAAAATACTGCCAGATCTGAGCTGATGCAAACATCTTTTATTAGTCAAACTGGAGGAGGCCTGCAATAAAATATTCACCGAAACAGAATTACCATCACCTGAATAATATGCAGGTAAATGTGTCTGTCTCTTTTGCTTTTTGAATCACTGCCTCAACACAGTGATACACTTGTTCCCTGTTTTGCTTAAGCGGCCCAGAGGGTCCCTTTGGCTGTTTTGCCTCATCATAGTCTGCTAGAGCGAGAAACTAAAAACAAACTAATTATTTAAACACATAAACAGGCTGAGCAAAATATCCATTTAACTGCTCCCTATTACTTCAACTACATCTCCCAGCAGGCCTCTGCCTCGATGCACTTTCCTGAGTCAACACACCGATGCTGAACAAACTCTATGACCCACAGAATGGGCAGAGGGGAGGGAGGGAGAGAAAGAGAAGGGAAATGAAGAGGAAAAAAGGATGGAAGGAGGAAATAGACAGTAAACTCGCACGAAGTAGCCAACACCTGTCACATCAACAAACAGACAGTGTTGTCAAACGCATGGTTGAGCACTACAGCGGCAAGTGGCTCCTTTATAAATGCATGACGCGGTGTAGCATCGCCTGCACGCAGATACTGTATGTGATAAACGGCCCCAGTGTGCCTCCAACACAAAAACACCATCTGTGGCTCCGGCGAGAGCACACACACACATTTTCAGTTAAGAAAGCAACAGGTAACTGTCTGTCGAGCTTGCAGCATGACACCAGGGTAGTTTGAGCCTGAATTGAACAGCTGAAAATTCACTTTTAAATCACATTAGATCAATTATACTAACCTTTTTATCAATTGAGCAAGTTAGCATAGGTAGGCACTGCTGGTAGATGTTGTAACTTCACCATTCAAAAGCATCTTTCTCTACTGAGGGCCATTCAAAAGTAACTGTGTATTCTGACAAAATACATTTTTTTGCAAGCAACATTTAAATTGCAAATAATTCATAGCAGATGTTTAACCAGTACCCATTTCTTTTTTGGAAAGCTCTTAAAAGCGTGAAATGGACTTATAATGTTACCTGTCTGCTGCATTTGACGTCACAGCTCAGGATAATAACTAGTGAAGGGTTTGGGATTGTGAACGTTCTTATTTTTTCTTACGATTTATGATTTCTCAGGCGAAAATCCATGTGAAAAATAACAGCACAAGCACATCTCTCCTCTGTATGCTGAAGGATTTTGGGTATCATTCACATCTGGAATGACAGCAAGCACCATTACGACTCATTATTTGTATGTAACTCATATGATTTTACACACAAAAAATATATACTACCATTCATTTTTTTAAATGAATTTATCATTTTTTTAAATAATATGTTTATTCAGCAAGGATGCATTAAATTGTTCAAAATTGTAAGAAAAAAATCAAATAAAAAATTTCAAATAAATGTTTCATCAGCACAGCTGTTACCAACTCTGATAATAATAAGAAATGATTCTTAAGCAGCAAATCAGCATATTAGAATTACTTCTGATGGATCATGTGACACTGAATCACAAGCACATCTCTCCTCTGTATGCTGAAGGATTTTGGGTATCATTCACATCTGGAATGACAGCAAGCACCATTACGACTCATTATTTGTATGTAACTCATATGATTTTACACACAAAAAATATATACTACCATTCATTTTTTTAAATGAATTTATCATTTTTTTAAATAATATGTTTATTCAGCAAGGATGCATTAAATTGATCAAAATTGTAAGAAAAAAATAAAATAAAAAATTTCAAATAAATGTTTCATCAGCACAGCTGTTACCAACTCTGATAATAATAAGAAATGATTCTTAAGCAGCAAATCAGCATATTAGAATTACTTCTGATGGATCATGTGACACTGAAGATTGATAATGTTGCTGAAAATTCAGCTTTGTCATCACAGGAATAAATTACATTTTAAAATATATTAAAATAGAAAACAGTTGTTTTAAATTGTAATAATATTTCACAATATTACAGTTTTTACTGTATTTTTGGTCATATAAATGCAGCCTTGGTGAGTAAGAGACATTTAAAAAAAAATCTTACCAACCCCAAACTTTTGAACGGTAGTGTACATTTTCATTTAATTGCATATGACACTGACATTTCTATCTCAATCTCCATGAACCCCAAGAGCTTTGTGAACCCCATCTGGGAAATCCTGAATTACACCATGAAAAATTAAATGAACGTTATAACAAGCCCCCTGCCAAACGTCGATCAATAGCAGAGCAGACAGCTCACAGGAAGCAGCATGCTTCAGATTCATCATGAGGAGACAAGGCCAGAGATACTTACCATTTGGACTTTCCTCATCAATGGTGACGATTGTGGCAGGTGGACCCGACCGTGACAACTTACACTCTGTGTCAGAAACAGAAAGAGAGAAATACAGTCAGACTCAGATCTGCCATCACCTTCATCACAACACATCATTCATACAGTATCTTATTCACTTGAGATTACATCTAGATGATGAACGCAGCAGTGTTAAATGATTTTACTGGGTGGATAAGTAGAGTCATAGAAAGAGAAGTGAGAAGCCTCTCGTGATGTGGTAGAGGAAAGAAAGCAGTCTTACCCTCATAGTGCCAGTCTGAGGGACGTTAGTGTCAGCAGCAGAGAAAAAAGAAAAGAAGAGAAGAGAAGGAAAGACACATATGAGAAGAAAGACAGTCAGAAAGAGGAACACAGCACAGGGTTGTGTGTCATTCAGAACTGAACAGAAAGCGCTTTTGAATTCCAATCCAATTCCTGAATTTGAGCAAAAAGAATGCAGAAATAAGGTGAATGGCAGTAAATAGTGAATCTATTTGCTATAAGTATAGGCCTGGGCGATAAAACGGTATCGCTATTTATCGACGGTACACCTTCTTCGATAACGATATAAAAAATGTTCGATATAGGCACGTGCTGTGAGTGACGCAGACAGCACATACAAATACACAAACACGGACATGAGTGCTGTACCTGCCTGTGATGAGGAGATTGTGAATTAAAAAAAAGAATATTAGTCAAATTTAAAATAAACACTTGCATTTGAATGCAAAAATAGTACAATCAAATGTTAGGTGTGCACCAGGGAGAGTCATCAGTGGAGCACGAGATGCGGTGATGATGATGTAAGTGACGTTGCATTTGAATGTTTTGTTAGTCTAGCCAACGAGATGCGCCGCTGCTGCGTTATGCATTCAAAATATTAGAGAAATATAGAAACTCAACGCGGAGAAGATCTTGATCAGGTTAAAACCGAAACCAAGCCATTCACACAGAACGCATATTCAGCGCATTTTTAGACGGACAAATATGACTGCTGCACTCGCGTCACACACAAGAGATGTAGCCATGCAAAGTTAAAACAGTTTAAACTGTTAGAAAACACGTCACGAATTTGTGGAGGTTTATTCCTTTTCACTGCGTCTCATATGTTTTTAAATGCAATCTGTGTGAATGGCGCTTCGGCTCTTTGGATTAAGCAATGCATAAATACATGATGCTGTTTTGTTCATAATTGTTTATGCAATTTACGAAATTATATTTGATTTATATGAGTTAATGTAGACGTAATGCACAATTTAAATGTGCTGCATGATTTTGCTCATTGCGCCCTCCTGTGGCCTCGGGAGACAAGACAAGTTTAACCTATTCAATCTGCATATAAAACAATTTTTTTAGCTATATCGCCCAGGCCTATATAAGTATATTAGAAAATTCCATAGTCTTATATATAGGCTATAGTTATGAATCCGTAAATACATAAACACACACACACACACACACACACACACACATATATATACAGTATATATATATATATATATATATATATATATATATATATACATATTAAAGAGGGACAGC